TATCAAAATGCCTGCCATTTGAAATAAATAAGTAAATATTGAAATGCCTAAATCGCTAAATTTGTCTAACGAAATTATAATAATAAACACTAACCAGCTAAAGCATAAATTCCGTTTGAGCAGTTCTGCAGTCCCTTTCCGTGGAATTCACCCCCCATAGTATGCGTCTTTCCCGAGCCCGTTTGTCCATAGGCGAAACATGTGGCCATTCCACCTTTAAATATACTTTCCACAAGAGGTTGAGCTGTATACCTATACACAAGGGCATTGTCTGCAGTCTCGTCGAAGGCGTAATCGAAACGGAAGGATTGATTTTCCAGATACTTGGTCAAATCCACTTTAGTTTTGGGTTCATGTACAAGGACTTGTTGTTTATTGGGTATAGTGATCACGTCGATCTCTTTACGGGTGAGTTCTGGAAGAACAAAAAGTGACAATATATGCAACGATAGTTTTCTATCAAGGCTATTTCTCTTAAGAGCTCACCTTTCTTATTCATTGGTCGTTTTCGAACACATACGCAAATCTGATGAGTTTCAATTTCATCAGAACTAGTAAGGGGTCGATAATCCAGAGTATCCTGGAACTCTCGAATCATCATAAGGAATTCGTAACTAGGACTGTTCGGATCAACATCGGGCTGTTCACGAGCAGCGCGTTGTGCAGCTCTGCGCTCCTCACGCCTCTGTTGAATTCGTTCAATCTCCTTTACAACGTTGGATTTGCGAACTGGTACACCTGTTGCAGGGGCTACCTGATTGTTGACTCGTGCTAAATAAAAAAGAGAGGTAATAGGTATGGTTTAATCCATCAACCACTTTATTCCGCTCTGATCGATTCCTGCTTGCCTGAACAACTCCCCTTCACCCTCATTTGTTCTCTATTGGCTCAACTTAAGATTCCGCGACCATTTTCCAACAGTCAGAGGTACCTTTATTGTCTTACTCGTTGCATACTTCCCACTAATATTAGCTTAATTTGTTTACGAATTCATATGCAACAAAAACTCCTGATACATTATGTGAGGTAAACCGGGCCGCAATCCAATATTGTAGGCACAATCGAACAGAATTCGTAGGCCTCCATCAAATATATCGACAATTGGTGCTCCGCCCTCCTGTACGGGAACAGAATCCCGTCACCATTTTAACTGAATCTATCCAGTCAGAAAAGAATATTTTTAGATCTGCACTTTACTAGTTCGATCTACTTCCAACTGAGACCGAGGATCTGTAGCCGCAGTATTAACTCTGTGAGCATTAGACATCATTGCAGCAAAATCTAAATAATACCAAGAACTAAGTGTCGTTATACAAAATAGACCGAATAAAATTTTTGCATTGAAAGTAAAATACGATGATCAACCAACACAGAGGAAGCAATGCAACTTATTTGACAAATACATCTAAACTTAACCATCTTCGAAGAGAACTATGACCTGGAAATTCGTAATAAATCTAGATTCTAATGACATTGTGCCAACTCAATCCCTCTGCTCTATGATACGGAAATGCAATTTCATTTCCTGCAGGCACCTATTGTTACAATGAATTAGTCTTTAAATAATTAGATTCTGCCATAAGTAACAAGCGACATCTGCACCCTTCCCCCCCCCCCCCCTATAAACCAGTGAAGGAAGGAGACGAGATGGAGAAATTTTACCAACTTAGAAACTCCTGACTCCTAATTGGAAAAGAAAGACAGAGATTAGATAATAGCATATTTGAAATAAGTACATTCCCCCTCCCCCACCCCCGTTAGTTGAGAAAGCGAGTAGAATTTGCCCTAATCAGCGTGGACATTTACACTGTCATGTCTTAATGTAAGAAATACAATCATTAAGCCAAAATATGAATTGTCTAGAGAAAAGTAAAACGATAGAGGTTCTAACTCTTGAACACCCTCTGAGCACTGATGTTCATTTCCATTGCAAGCTACCACCCTAATTTATAGCAATTATCGGATAGTTTGGCGTACCTACCTGTTTCGCACCTTACCCATCGGTCAATCCATGAACTCGCCTTAGCTAGCCACACCTCCCCCCCC